GTCCCAATATATATTAAATCACACATTGTCCACATCAAGATCAAAACACTAAAACTGAAACAAAAAGTCATAGTCTATACTTTTTCTCTATTAATTCAATACAATAAAATTGACAACTGCTTTAAAATCTTTACATATTGAGTATTTCAGACCAGAGAGAGGCGAGGTGCAACAAAAGTTTCATCCTCATCATTTTATTTAGTAATGCAGGTTACAAAGATTAGCAGCCAGTGAGACTGATGTGGACCTACACTTAACTAATAAAATGTGAAATAATAAACAAAATAATTTATGAAATTTCTACATAACTACATAACACAAAATGACTGAATGGCAATTACTCATGAATTCACCATGCAGTGAGCTTCGTCAGCCACAACACAGACTACGTTTTTTGATAAACATCAGATAACAACATTTTCTGCATTTCCTACTACTGATAAGTACTTCCGGATGGGCAAACACGATGCTAACACGCCCGCACAACACATTTTTCTCAGAATCACCTTGGACTTCGATCCCTGTCTCTTTGTCCGCTTCAGAACATTTAGCCTGGATAATTGCTGCTAACTGTCCTTGCTTCTTAATTTTCTCAACTTGGTCCATCATCAAAGCGGTCGATGGTGACGCAATAATTGCAATCGAGCATTACTTTCCACCATACAACAAAAAGTTATACATACTCGGCAGAGGTTGATATATTAAAGACTTGCCATATCCTGTTGGCAGGACGGCTAGGACATCTCTNACAGAATCACCTTGGACTTCGATCCCTGTCTCTTTGTACGCTTCAGAACATTTAGCCTGGATAATTGCTGCTAACTGTCCTTGCTTCTTAATTTTCTCAACTTGGTCCATCATCAAAGCGATCAATGGTGACACAATAACTGCAATCGAGCATTACTTTCCACTATACAAAAAAAAAAGTTAAACATACTCGGCAGAAGTTGATATATTAAAGACTTGCCATATCCTGTTGGCAGGACGGCTAGCACATCTCTCTTTTGCTGCACCACTGCTCTCAAAGCCTTTAGTTGTTTAGTTTTTAACTAACTGTAAATCAGGCGGTGCGCGTTCAGTCAAGGAAAACTTCAATGCGCGGTCAAATTCAATATTTGACATGTCCGCCATGTCCATGGACAACGTCCACAGTGACGAGCAAGGATGCTGCTAACAATATTTGCTAGCTAACTTTAACCCGCGAAACAAACTCTAACTCTCTACCTGGCCCTAAGCTAACATAAAAATGCTGCAACGTTGCTTAACCTATAAATTCTACGCGCCTGAGTCAGTCTTCTGAGTCGTTCTGTTCCGCGATCTTGGGAATTTATTTTGGGCATGAGCTCTTGCCTCGCCTGTCACATTCCTGGCAGGCGATCACGTAGGTGCAAATCGGATTTGGCCAGATCTCGCATTCGGCTTCGTCCACAAGAGATCTGGGAACGAGATTACTATAGGAGGACAGACGAATAGATGACGTCATCAGTAACCGATATTTTGGTTCTATCAGTATACAAAGCAGAGAGATTCCTTATTGCCGTGCGTCTGTCCAGTAATAGATCGCAGATGACGTGAAAATGTGGTAAGAACAAAAAACGTGGCTCCCGAGCCGCTAAGCGAGTGTGGCAGTGATGTTAAGTTACAATGCTACAGCCACTTACAAAACAATATGAGCTAATATTTACACTTTTAATTTCTTCGTCGCTTCTTAAATCAAAATCTTTAAAATGACCATTCTTAGGGGCCGGCCTTTATTTAATATACTACTATTTCCTGGATTTGTTTGATGCCTGCTCACAAGTCAGCATAGATGGCGCCTTTTTTGACTAGCAATGCTATGAAAAGAAAAGTCTCGTGGTAGATTAATTACAATAACTCAAGAACGGTAGGTAAAGGGACTTTGGAATGCATTCAGCACTAGCGACGGTTACTTCTATCCTTATTTTAAAGCCAAATTACTTGGCGTGATTTAGGCCTAGGAGACTGGGGCTTTTTGCCACAACAAGGTATCCCATAATAATCTTCAGCCACTTCTGTTTCCTCGATGGTTTGGTGCATTGGTGAGAAGACCGTCTCTGGAATCCAGTACATCAATATCCCAGCAAGGGCTGCGACCACAGCAAAAATGACCACTGGAAACGCAATGCTGAGACCTGGTAATTGAGCCTGGCGAAGTAATCGGAACGAACGTAAGCGTGTTAGATGGCTTATGGTTCAAAAACGCCGCTTACCATGCAATCACTACTCCAAGTTACAACCCACCAAAAGGTCGAGGAACGAAAAGACTATTTTCTTCTTGCGACAATAAAATGCGAAAATCCCCCAGTGTGTCGGTGACGCTGCCCAATGCAAGCTTCTCAGGCCGGGCTACAGATATAAAGATTTTTTATTTCCACGGTAATTTGAGCTGATTTTTGGGATGGGAGGGGAGGTAGGGCAAGGATAAGATTTCTTTTTGACCAGATCTGTTTGAAGTATGTTCCAGTGCACTTTCCTGACTCACCGTCAAGGCCACAAATGGAGCTAAGATTCCGCCAATCCGAGCAGTTGTAGATCCTGTTCCTTGAGCTGTGTTCCTAGTAAGAAAATAAATTGAAGGGCTAGACTGTTACTATAATGACGTTGGCGGGAGAGCAGGGATACAAAATCCACCAGAGGCTACCATCTCACACTAGGTACCAATATGCTTTTTAATTTAGCCCTACTTCAAGTTAGTTACTTAAGTATTGCACAAAAGAATGGCAATGATACCAAAGAAATTCTAGTTACTAGAACAGGCAGCTGTTTATCAGGAATTGCTAACAACTGACATCCATAAGCATGGTATTTTTTTAAAAATGTCTTGCCTTGAAAGCCATTTGATTCTGTTAAACATGTACTGCGAGTGAACCATTCAAAAACAGTGGTGTCCGTCACACTTATATCGATATGCTACGACGCTGATCTACACAGATGTTGTTACGGGGTCAAATATGCGGGGTATCAGTTAACATTAATATTAAGAGACAAGGAAATCCAATATTACTCCAGCTATTTACAACTGAACTGCCCAAGCTTCTTTGCCAAATCTCAAGAGAACAGCAAACTGGCAGCCCAGAGCCGCCAGGACAGCATAAATGAAGTACATAAGTAGTGGTGTAAAATAAATTTTAGGTCAAAATTATTTCAAATTGATTCGATTCATTTGTATTTTTCAATGGAATCCAAGCTAACACAAACAATGGAGAGGAAGAGAGGCCAGAAGGAGGACGAGGACGAGGACGAGGACGAGGACGAGGACGAGGACGAGGACGAGGACGAGGACGAGGAAGAGGAGGACGTAAATGAGATAAACTTACCTCAGCACTGTTGGAAAGAGTTCAGAGGTCACCAGATAAACACTCGTCCAACTGCAGTCTATCATGAGGTATCCACAGAGAGACAGTGCTGTGGTTGCCTCTGGAGATTCTGAAAATAAGAAATCCGAATGCTTAAATCTTGTCACTATTTACATTACACTGGCGAATATCCCAGCTGCAGAGAGTATTTCTGCATGTTGAATGGGAACAAGACTTTAGACGCACTTGGTCACGATGGACCTCAATATCAGCCCTCATAGCGGAGCTCCTGTGTGCCGAAGCGCATGTGAGCGGAACCCCATACCTTAGCAAATTTGCTAACCCATCGATCTAAACAATTTTGATTGTCACGTGACTATCCGTACGTACGAGGGTCTGGTCCGTACGTCCGTACGTCCGTAAGCCTCCATACCCTCCAAAACTCCACACCGTTAAAAACAAGATCATTACCATATGTACATCTTTGATATTGGACATCCATGTTATGATTAATTGACAGCTGTCAAAACAGGGTATGCGCTGACCAGTACCATATGACCATATCGCGGGCTCAGGTTAATAACTCGTGTCGAATGTATTTTTTGAAGTTGACCGCTGACCAGGTACTAGTTTTGCGATTGGATCTCGGGCTCAAGTCAGGGTATTACTTTAGGGGAGGAGAGAGTACGAGCAAAGGTAAACTTTCGGCGCAAATCAACCCCTGGCGCGTTGTTGACTTTTCCTCCCACCTATTTTCTTTGCACAATCGTCTCTTGGAAAGTCCCTAAAATATTGCGTACGTAATTCCTACAATCGTGAGTACCTACACTTATTGGGTAAAGTTTGTTAAAACTTAACTGAAAGAAATAGTGAAATCACACGCTGAATAATTACATGCTCCCAATTGGTCATTCTCTTTAGTTTCTGATCCATGGTTTATTATCGTAATCAGGAGCTCCGCCTTTAGGCTTGGCTAAATCTATATATTCCTACTATCCAAGGAGCCATTCCACACAAGTACCGTGATTTCTAGAAATACGACCTCGCACTGACTTCAGTCCGCAGCAGACTACTGCACTTCACGGTATTACTTTTACGTGCTACATTTTACCCCAATGGCCAGCTCTATGAAGACAATGAACCACAGAATGGGTTCGACTGACTTCGAGGATCGAATACAGCCTGACAGTCACAGTATTAAAAAACTCCTGTTGCAATCGAAAGCAAATAGCTTAAATGACCACTCGGTCTGAGACAAATGTTTCATGGTTTTAATCTTTTACCTTTGTACACCAGTAGAAACATTAAAAATGTGATCCCGACCAAGATCATGATAATAGCATGGCAAATACGGCGACCAAATCTGAGAATAGCAAATGCGATAAGATAAAATGAATCCGAATGAGTCAGACAGGGACATAAACTATTCCTCAAGATTCAAATGACGAACCTGCCCCATACTGTTATCATCGTTAGTAAGGAATTTTAGGTATAATATGAATGATATAGAAGATTGTTTTAAAACGAGTCAATTACACAAACTACAAAAAAGAAAGCAGCTAGAACAATGCTACACATTGTTCTTCATTCTGCCAAAAGATCAGAAGAGATTTTAAACCACACAAAGGAGAAAAGCACCATTGCTTACCTTAGGTATAGGATCCACGTGAGAGGTATCTTAAGAGTTGTAATAACGTTCATAATGGTATAATTAACGTAAAGGTTGCCAACCAGCTGAGAGATGAATAAAAAAATCCCGAAACCGACCAACGCCACAACAAACCTGCAACATATAGTGCTTGTGAACAGTTGATATGTGTTTTTACCCGAAGAATATGATAGTATCGTGTTCAACTGGTAATGAATTTAGAAGCTTTCCTACGGATTCTCGCTTTGGCGCCGTGATGACTCAATAGTTAGCCCATTGGACTCGAAATCGCGCAAACCAACTTGTAGGCTATCATTATTTAGTATAAATCTACTAGCGTTCTATCACGAATGGCGTTCTCTGATTGGCTTCGCTACTCACTATCTATTCTGTTATAGATAGCGAGTAGCGTAACAGTGTGCGCTTGTTAACAAAATGACGCCCGCTTCTTTGCGTTTTCGAGGTGTCTGCGAAGAGGATTTAGATAACGTTTTGAACGACCGGACTAGTAGATTTACACTAACACAATTAGATTATTCGCTCTCGATTTAGAACTATGCGTGATAGTTGACGAGGGCTGCGTCCTCGTCAACTATATCACACGACAGAAATCGAGACAAATAATCTAATCGCTAAATATATATATAGCAAGGCGTGGTTTAATGGTGGTCTGACTAAGGTTTGAACTCAGGTCACTCAGGACCCCCGATCTCATTGTTGCATTAATTCTATAGATTGAGCTAGCTAAACCCATTCTCTTCCTCAAAGCCACGCGGTATTCTTGGCCGTGGCGGTCACCTTTTCTTCGCACCAGGGTCATGCCACTTCAAAAGAGGGGCAGGCGATCCTGAAGACGAGAACGGCGCTAACCTTAGTTAGGCCATTATTGTCTGATATTCATACCATTGATAGCAGATGATTATCGTCCATTTTCTCAGCTTTGGCGTGCGAAACATGTCGATCGGTGTGTATTTTTTAGCTTCTCGTTCTCGTTCTAACTGGTCTTTCCTCACTTTCTCCAAGAGCGCCCTTAACTCCTCTGAGTTTACAGGTTTGCCCTTCTTGCCTCCAAAACGCTCAATGACAGTTTGAGCCTCGTCCAAGCGATCGTGAGCAATGAGCCATCGTGGGGATTGTGGAAAAAATCTGTATAAAGTGTTAATCTTGAATTAGAATTTAAGGTTTTTAATATATTAAAATGTTGTCCGAATTTTTCCTAGGCTCGATTACCAGCCGCTGGTAGATTGAGGAACGCGGTTTTGCTCTATCGATCTGGCCTAGAATCGCGCACGTTTACACTGTACAGATGAGCTAATCTTATAGATTAAAACTACAGAGTTAGATCCCGTCCTAAATGTCTACGTAAATGGAAGCCGTTTGTGGTTCGCTGAAGTCGCTTTTAGTAACGTGTTTTGATTTTAGAGCTCTAAACTCTGTTAAATCACAGCTTTAGGTCTGAAAACTAATAAGGTCTACCAGAAATGCGTCGTGCAACCTGGCAAACAACTCCTCGCTGGATTACACCAAAACGAAGTCTCCAATCAGTAATATAAGTTTCAAACAATTACTTAATTTACATCCCCGCTCTTTAGAGCAAAAAATAAAGAAAATGATTGTAATTGATGATTGTGTCTGAGTCAGGGAGCGAGCGAGAGATCGAACGATTTTGTGAGACTGATCAGAACCCCGCATTTTGCTCTTAGTATATCAGATGGATTAATTGTTCCACTGTTACAAATATCTCGATGGTTATTGATGAAAGGTATATTCATTTACTTTTTTAACCTACTTTCGATTACTTACTTCCAAAACGGGAACAGCAATACCGCTGGGAGAGTAACAATCATTGTTAGATTTCTCCAATCACGTTCAAAATAAGCGATAAGGAGAAATAACATTTGAAAGCCACTGACAAGGAACAGACCCATATTGGCAACAGCTGTTCTTTTGCTGGGACCAACTAATTCCATGACGTAAATATAATGTGCCAGCATAACTCCGGTGAGCCCAAAACCAACCAGGAACCGAAGAACCGCAAACAAAGGGGTGGAATGAACAAACGCTGAACCGAATCCTGTTACAAGCTGTAAAAAACATACAATGAAGTGCATTAGACCTCAGGCAATTTACATTTTAAAAGGGCTGGTCTCTATATGTCCATTAGCTTGCGAGCAGGCTCTCCTTTGAGTCACGCGCGAGCGAAGAGAAAGTCGGCGAGGCAGGCGATCCGGCGGGGAGGAATCTGGTACCAAAGCGCCAAGAAAGTGGGGTAACTTTTTTCGCGGCTTCGCCTCTCTCGCGCCTGTGCTCTCTAAACGTGAGTCTGCTCTCAGGCCATATGTCCGTTAATTGTTTCCCTGGGAACTGTGTAGCTTACCATTATGGCATTGCAGATAAATATGCATTTCTTTCGGCCCCAGGCGTCGGATAATATCCCGGTCACAATTGAACCAACCAACATTCCAGCGAAGTAACAAGACTGAATAGTAGCGCCCAGGAATGCGCGGTCACAAATTAGGTTCCACTGCGAAGAAAGGAAAAAAAAGGCTCGCATCCATCCTTGACTCCTGGCTTTCTAATATTGTTCAATATGTTTAACTTTCATTATTTTTTCAAAATTTTCATTAATAAGGCACGTACCTCTGACACAATGCTATGAAACGGTCCGTCGAACTCGTATGACGTACAATCGTCACAACATTTTTTTCGATCACACGTGACATTTGGCGTGACACAGTGGAAGCCAGGGGTACCAAAACCAAATACCAGTAAGAAAAACTGACTTATCAGGGGAAAAGCCAGCAAATACGAAGTGAAGTACAAGACTTGCTGGTATTTTCCAAAAGGTGAAACATGTTTAAAAATATCGTCAAACGCAGATGTGCGTTTTTCATTTTTAGATGAAATACTTGCAGCCATCACTCCTGAACAGTGGGAAAAAAAAAGAAAAAAAAATTTAGAAAACGGAGAAATGCTTACCACAACGACGGCTGCATAGCTGCCTACAATGCCATGTGTTTTCTTCTGAGAGCCCTCTGGATGAAAAGTACATGTTCCTTGGCTACTTGAAAATCTCCCCCTTCGAAACTCAATTATTCGAAAGCTCACGATATTTTTTGAAGAATATCGAGGCTGAAATTTGCGAAATTTTAAGAATATTTTAAGAAAAAACGCGAGGCTGATCAAAAGAATATAATTTTGTGTGTTGAAAGTTTGTAACTACAATACAATTGGTACATGTTTTAGCTAAACCGTATAAAATCTTTCCTTTCTCTAAACGGCAAAACTAGCCAAAACGCAACAAAAACAGCACTAGCCGTATATTTAAATACAATGATGCAAGAGACCGCGAACGAAAATGCGGCCGGTGTACTTAGGATCCGTATTTTCAATGCTAATAACATTTCTGCAAGAAGTTCTGTGCGTCTCATATCAGGCTTATTACTTTGAAAGTGAAATTACCATGTTCCCTTGTTCGGAAAATCTCTTAAGGTCATTCCCCAGAATTGCATT